CTGAAAGGGCTGCCAGAAGCCCTGCATTTCATTCCATTGGCCAGTTACAACATCTACACGACTTGGATGTGATGAAACTATTGTTTTTGTGAATGACTGTGTGCTTTTGTAAATGCCTTCATTAATTTTAGAGTTACAAATAAATTTTAGTGGGTAGTTGAACTCACACATATGGAATCTGTGATTAATGAGGGCTGACTATGTCTGGCATGAAGTTCAGCCAAGTCAGATTTGGATATATCAGAAGACTTCACATCTTGGGCATGAGATGACAATCAGCTTTGTATCTCATGAATACTCAAAACCAATAAAAAAAAAAAAGCCTGGTATGTCTTCCATTTGGATGCATCAGAAACCATTCTCCTGGAAAACAGGAAAAGAACAGCAGGAGAGATCTGAAGCATATCATAATAATTTTAGCCATGTACATGTGAATAGGATATCACAAGCACTTATTGATCCTGCAGGAAACCTCTGGAGGTGACTCATCCATTCCCCTGCATTAGCTGAGACTTTGTGTTGGTCATTAGAGATTGCCAGCATCACAGACCACAGAAAAGCCTGCCAAGTCTTACTTGACAAGTCCCATTGCCTTTGTATAACTTTCTAAAGGCTGAATCTTGCTTAGCATTGTGCCTGTGTGTATGGAACAAACTCTGTAGACACTTGCTGTTCATTGAACATGTTTCTTGGGGTCAGTCTGCTATTTATGTTGCGCTTATCTCTGCTCTTCCTTTGTAATATACTGTCATGTAAATATTTCTGTCTAAAATTGTGGGTCCCAGCTTGGGGTTTCTGGAATAGTGGTCCCTTACGATGCCATTGAGCTATTTAAAGAATTTTTCAAAAAAATACATTTCACTTCTATTAGACTCTGTGGGTGAAACCAAACGCCAAGGTTTTTTTATTTTTTTCCCCTGCAAATTTGCTTGGAATTACACAATGATAATGCTATGTATTTTATGTGCTAATACTGTGTATGGGAACTATACAATGATAATCCTGTGATAATAGTATGTCTTGCTTGCTAATCAGAAGCTCATTGCCACAGACATGTCTTTGATTAACAAAAAACATTGCTCAAATAACTTCAATTGTTTGTAAGTTTTCAAGATACTTCAGAGAAATATGGGGAAGATAATTAAAAGTTTCTTGGATGGTTAAAGAACAGAAAACCACTGATTTAAAGGTTTCTGAAAACATGGAATTTTTTCAAATAAGTGTAAATTTTTTATTATTTCACATTTATGATAATGATTTTCACACTGCTGTTAGTCTTTTTGAGCAAAACAGTTCAATTTCATCTAAAATGGGAAAATTCAGTCACAGAAAAGCAACCATTTTCACCTAGAAACTGAAAAATAGCCCCAAGGCTCTACTCTCCAAGCTTTGTTCTTTCTGCCCAGCTCTGTGATTCTCCCTCAGGGCCTCCAGAACAGGAATGCTTCTGTGAATTCATCTTTTCTTGGTGAAATGTTTTTTCTTCTTGTGAGAATTAGCCAGGACCCAATGAAGTGACACAGATGATGGGGTGTACTGTGGTAATAAGAGACCTGCCAAATCCCAGGCAAGCTAAGTTTCTTCCTGTTGAAATTCTTTTTCATGCATTTCTTCCATCTGGTCACACTGTCATGCCGAGGAATAGCTGATGCAACATTTCTAGATCAATGACAAGGCTATAGCTCTGCTTGGTTTGGTGCTTTGAGAGCAAAAATGTGGGAAAGGGAAGGAAAGAGGTGTACAGAATGGAGAGGTCGGGCTCAGTGCCCCTGCCTGATTTCCAAAGCATACTTTTAAAGCCTCAAGGACCTTGTCATCTGTCGTAGTTTATGCGGAGACACTCCTCACCGATGTCTGTGCTAAGCCCCACCGTCTGCCCCCACCCTGTCTTGTGTGGTCAGCTTCTTCCAGCTTACTGGCCACCCTACACTGCCTCCATGCTGCTTCTGTTGAACCTTACACCTAAAAAGCTGGAATGACCTTCCTATTCTCAGCCGGCTAAGGCAAGTTCTTCACATCACACAGGAAGGGCCTGAGACCACTCCCCTCCAAGAAGCCCTCTAGAATGCTCAGAAAAGGATCATAATCTCATTTGCCTGGTCTAAATACAAAGCTCCAGACCTCCTCAATTACTGTGATTACTAAAATCTCCAACAAATGGATATTATTAGTGTTTTAAATCATTTATTTGTTATCCGCTTGGTGTTTGTATTCTCATCAGTGATATGTAACATCATAAGCATGATTTTTCCAATCTTACTGCTTCTGTATATCTTATAACACAGTGCCAAGTGAAAAGTGGACACTCAGTAATGTTACCTTGATTTCATAGGCCAAAGAGTCCCTTTAAACTGTCCCCTGGTGAGAGCCACCAGTTTGTAAGTAACTTAGTAAAACAGCCTTGAGATGACAAAGAAAGGGCTGGGCAGCAGCATTTCCCAAACTTCCATGAACGAACCTTTGCTCCCACACCCTGATACTTGGCTGTACCCATCGAGCCGTTGGCTGTACTCTCAGTTACAGAATTCTGTGGAAATACTCTCAATGCCTCTTTTTGAATGCCTTTTATTGATCACACTACGCCCACTTCCAACTCAATCTCGGACACTGATCTATCACATCCCTGGTTTCTGCCTCTGTCTTCCGTGCTTTACATTAGAATCAGTCTCAATGATAACAGTGGTGCCTGGAAGACAATTTCTCCAAAGTATAGGTTCTAAGGGCAAGATACCTACTTCGTGGTGGAATCACCAGGTTCCCTGAAAGGAAAGTTTTAGTGTCTAATGGACATGCTGCTGGAGCGGGTGTTCTCCTTTGTGTTACTTGGACACCTCTTCCTTAAGTGGAAAATCGAGACATGTTTTGTTATGGAATAGCATCTTGCATGCCAATNTCAATGATAACAGTGGTGCCTGGAAGACAATTTCTCCAAAGTATAGGTTCTAAGGGCAAGACACCTACTTCGTGGTGGAATCACCAGGTTCCCTGAAAAGGAAAGTTTTAGTGTCTAATGGACATGCTGCTGGAGCGGGTGTTCTCCTTTGTGTTACTTGGACACCTCTCTTCCTTAAGTGGAAAATCGAGACATGTTTTGTTATGGAATAGCATCTTGCATGCCAATAGAGTTTCTATAATAGTTATTACATTTAGGCATACTAACAGAGCGCTTTTTTTTTCTTGTAATCAAGTTATGCCGTCCTACCAGGCCCTCCATTTCATTCCTTTGGCCAATTACAACATCCACACGACTTGGACTTGATGCAACTATTGCTTTTGTAAATAAATGTCTATGTGCTTTCGTAAACGCCTTTGATGAATGTAATATTTCTGAGAATAATCAGAAAATGTTATAAATGGGATAAATAAGTGACATCTGAGAAAACAGCACCACAAGGAAAGGCCATGGAAAAGGAGGGGAAACAGAGCAGAGACAGAAATGGGGACGTAGTTATAAGCAAAGAAATGTAAGGGGTAGAGAAATGGTTAAGGAAGCTGAGAATGCAGGAAGGAGGACAAATAAATAAAAATGATCCTCACTGTCTGATTGTCACACTGTTGATGAGCATTAAAATACCACCAGGTGCTGGTTAAGACTAAATTTACAGCAGGCTTGCAAAAAATAACACTATTTTCCCAGACCATGAAATGTTATTAATAGACAAGGCAAAGTCACAGAGGGAAGATGAGATGGAGATAAAGAATCCAAATCCTTTTCTGACTCTAACTTATACAAACTTAGAAAGAGTATATTAAAAGCGGGGTCTTGAAACAGGAGAATTTAAAAGAATAGGCACATTTGTCTCATATATTTGTGTTTCTACAAAAAGATTTTCACAATAAATTCATACTTGCAACATATATTTCAGTGCTTTTTATTTACTTGGAGTTTTTTTTTTTTTTGGCAGTGTAGGGATCGAACCCTGGACCTTGGTGTTACCAGCACCACGTTCTGACCAACTGAGCTAACTGGCCAGACCCCCTATTTCAGTGCTTTTTAAAAAATATTGATCTGGCAAATAAAGTAGAAGAAAGATTTTATTTGTATGCTTAATTAAAGCTTGTACTTGACATGATTTAAGACTTCTGCAAAAGTCAAATGTATTCTTGGGGGGGAGGGGAGAGAGGGAGGAGGGAGGGAGGTGTCGGTGATGGGCCATAATAATCATATACAGTGTATATTGACAAAATAAAAATTAAAAAAAAAAGCTTGCACTTGACATGATTTAAGACTTCTGCAAAAGTCAAATGTATCCATGAAAATGTAGGGAACGGTCTTCTATAGCAAGAGTCCATGTATGATAAATAGGAAGTTTTAACTTACTAATATTCACAGATAGGAGGATATAATAGTAGAAAAAAAGAGATATTCTTTGTTAAAGAGACTTTAAGAATAAATGCTTAAGCCAGGACTCATCACTAGTCTG